CCCCGGGAGGGATGGCTATGCCACAATCCCTTCTCCTCCATTCTCCTGCTCAGACTCTGGTCACACACACACACATGCACCCAGCATGATTTTCAAGACAACAGGTCTAGGACTCGAATTGCGGTTGGCCATGTGGGAGTCCAATGTTTCAACCATCATGCTACGTGCTGACCTTGCCCCATTTTTAATATAATGCCTTATCTCCCTAAACCCTGCACACATCTGTAAATAACCCTTTTACTCTCCTCAACTTACCCCCACTTGAGTGTACCATGTTTCCTGCCAACACCCTGACTGATACTGTCCCATCATAATGTATGTTCTAAAACCTGATCCCATTTAAATAATAATGTTTTTAAGGACACGGGCATGTTAGGATCTCTTTCCCCACCGCACACCCTACTCCACCCCTGCCTGCAAATACCAAGCATGAGGCTGAGCACATAATGTGTGTTCAGTAAATACCAGATGATTAGGCTTTTTACCAGAGAGAGAGCATGAACACACACACATACATACACACACACACACACAACACACACACACACATGAATGTGTGACAGGCAGAGAGAGGGGTATTTTATTGACAGCATATCACCACAGTACACTCCCTCCTGGCCCAGCCTCCTAGTCAGCTAAGACCACAGCCATGTGGTTTAGGTTGGACCAGGAGCCAAGCCTGGACCTCCTATGTGGCCCTAGCCATCATGCAGAGGGCACCACTGTGACTGGGCCCAGTTGGTTGATTTCAATGCTGGAACACCCTCAGAAACTAAACTTAACTGTAAAGTAGCAGGAATTGTGTCTGTCTGTCTGTCTTACTACAATAGCACCAGCACTTTATACAATAGAAGGTTCTCTGTAAAAATGTGTTGTGGGAGCCAGCAGGTGGCGTGGTGAACTGGACTCCCACTGGACTCCCACATGGCTGACTCTGCAGTTCAAGTTTGAGACCTGGTAATTTGAAAATCATGCTAGGCATATGGGTGCATGCCTAAAATCCTGAGAGGAGCAGCATGGCCATTCCCCTAGGGACTGATTTCTCACTCTCTCTCTCACTGTCCCTCTCTGGCTAGTGCACACACCTTGTAACAACAACAACAACAAAAAATGTGTTGTGTAATGAGTGAAATGATGTTAGATATTGTTTCATATCCTTAGGAATTGGGCCTCTATTTTTGTCTTTATCAGGTAAAAGCTCATTTGAGCTTTTAGAAATGAGCCTCTCTGAAATGATCAGATGGTTTATTTTGGACATTTTAAACAGAACTGATGGTGGAGATTATAGATCACAGGGAGGCAGATTCTGACTAGAATAAAAGAAAGCTGTTTCTAATCACCTCTAACACTATGGGAAATTCACAAGAGTGCTTCCACACAATGTGATGACAGGGAAGTTGTTTAAGCAGCTCCTGGAAAATCATCTGGTGCAAATGATATAGAGGATAAATTTAGATATCAGACATAGTGTAAAGAACTTAGGCATGATGACATTATAGTCCCTTCTAAGATTTATTTACTGGGCCAGCCCCATAGCCCAGTGCTTAAAGGAGCCAGATCCCACATGACCACCTACAGTTTAAGTCCCAGCCCCAGCAGCTTGAAAAACACACCAGACCTGTGTGTATGCACATGCATGCCAAAAAGCTCGATAAGACAGAGAAATGGAGGTAGCTAGGTTATCTCTGTCTCTCTCCTGTGAGAGCATGTGCGCTGTGGCAAAAACCAAACCAAACCAAAACATTGCTGAAAAGTTAAGTGCCAGTGGCCAAAAGATCCTCCCTAATGCCTTTTTCTTAGCCCCAGAGGTGAGTTTGCTATTTCATAAAAATGCCTTTTTCTTAGCCCCAGAGGTGAGTTTTCCATTTCATCACCAATAAACACAATATTTTATTTTTCTAACCTACCCCCAACTTTTTTATAGCTTAATTGTGTTTCCAACCTTCAAATCCACCAAATATGAGAAAAGTAGAAAGATTAGTGAATATGTTTGGGTTTGAATTCCAGAGAGTGCTCTTTGGCATGGTTTAAATAACATTAGCATTCTTTTTAATTTTCTGGTTAGGCCCCTGTGTCGATTAAAATATGGCTTAACACCAGGGTGCATCACTTGGCACATTCTGTTCATCATGCATTTAAAAAAATGATTGAAATAAGAACTTCTCCTAAATAGCATGGCTTCTGTTTGTGATTTTCAAAACCACCTTGGGCACAGTATTGAATCCTGTCACCTCGAGGGAGGAAAAGCATTTGAAGGTAGAATTGTTACCCTTTCTTGCTCTTAATAACACACTGCATTTGTAACACAAGGGGAAATTCAGAGGTTGGTTTTGGAATAAATAAACTCATGTGTAGTTTGCTATTTAAATTCAGTAGACAATACCTCATGGTGCTGGTGCCGTATGATAATGGACGATTTTTACACCCGAGAATCTGAATCACAAAGCTGCATTGGAATTACACCTAGTGGTTATAGAAGCATCTGTATAAGAAAATACCAGAGGACAGCCCGGTGTCATATAAAAACTATTTGCCCATAAATCTGCTTTTGATGGGCTACTAAAAATGGACACATCAGGCATAAAAGATGTGTGTGTCTATTACTAGCCTAGCTTTGTGAAGGATGACAAGCTTCTACTGGTACACTGAGATAAGAAACAGCTGTTGTTGGCATCGGTACTATTGCAAGAAATAAAATGATAATTCTGGGACACACTTCCGAGGGTTACCACATATTTGATCAACTTTTGAATAGATGCAAGACCACAATCATCTGGCTGCCCTGGATGAAATTGCCGACAACCCTTTAATAATCTCTTAAGAAGTAGCACTGAGTCCAGTCTCACAGAACCATCTTCTAATTGTGTGCTATTTTTAAAGCAAGTAGTTCCAGTGTGTGTGTGTGTGTGTGTGTGTGTGTGTGTGTGTGTGTGTGTGGTGACAGGGAAGGGAAGGGATGGGGGGAGGCTTTTGTCATTTTCCTTTTTTTATTGCATCAAGGACATTTTTGAGGTAAAATTTCAGGGTTTCAAACAACTGCAAAGCAGTCACTTAGGTGAATTTATAAACTGTGAGTCAAAGGGGAAAAACATCTTTCAAGGGAAAAAAATGCATGGAATCTCAGCATTAGACCTATTTGATAGCTACACATAAAAACAGAAAGGCATTTTTAAAAATCTTCAAAAGAAGATAATCAACTGAGAATTTTAATTACAAAAACCTAAAATTTTGTATTGATCTGGAACTTTAAGAGAAGAATAGCCATTCTTTTCTCAGTAAAGGCATTCACAGTCTTGCATTCACAGCCGGTGAGGATTGGACCACATGCTCTCCAGAGTTCTCTTCTTCCTTTCATTATGTTGTGATTTCAAGAAGAGAGTGCACTGAGCAGCCAGGTGTTGTAATTTCCGGCTTCTTTCCATATTTCCTGCTCTCTAGGGTTTAGGTTTTTGTATTTCTGTAACATCAGACTCTGACCAGATAAGTTGGGGAGTCTACTCCAAGTTCTTAAATCAGGTCTTATTTACTCTGTGAATTAATCTGGATAGGAGAGCAATATCCTAGAGAAGAAAACTGGACAGGAGAAGAGTTGGAAAAGATGAGGGGAATGGAAGGGATAGAAAAAGAAGGGAAGAGAAAGGTTAAGGGAGAAGAAAGGATTAGAGAAAGGACAGGAAGAAATTGAAGGTGTGGGACTATTTCAAAAGAGCAGCTATGTCTTTTTCCTCCATATTAAAAATGTCAGTCCGCCAAAGTGAAAAAAAAATAGTATAATTAGCAGCTAAATACAAATTCATTTCCTGTATCATTTAAATGACATATCTCCAAGGTACAAAGCAGCATGTCTGGCAAAAGGTTGGGTGATTCGATCCCTCTATTACTTTATATAAAACAAAGAAGTTGGAGTTTCATTACCCTTAAATTGTCAGGCACTGGGTGAAGTTAACTTTTATTAGAAGCTGTTCTTTCATATTATACAGCGTAGTCAAGGATATATTAGCTTTGACGTTTTCTTACATCTCAATACGCTGTGGAGTGAATTTACTGTGAGGCTAATTTAGAAGGGAGCTTTTCATAGGAGGAAAGAATGGTCAGTATCAGCTGACTTCAGATCATTAGCAGGATGAAAATGCAGGAGAAAGGTGTACATCTAAAATTTCTGCATGTTAATAATAATGCTTCTTCTGTTTTTATTTCTGATGACAGTCTATGTTCCTTCAAAGTTCAGAGCTTACACCTATATTTAGGAGGAAGGTTTTATTGTGAAGGAAATGTTACAGCATCTCCTGAACATGACCATTTTGTCTTAAAGAAAGAAAACAATCAGATCGAACAGTATATAAAAGGCATTTTTAGAGCTTGAGCTTTCAGAAACTCTAACTGCTATCATCACTCTCTCACTTCAGGTTATCCTTTCTAATAAGATCATGATGGCCAGGTACCATTTCGATGCACCAATTAAACATACAATTGGTAAATGAATTTGGATTCTTTTTAAACCAAATTTAAACAAGCATAGCTCAGTGATAAGCATAGTGCTTTCGTTTTAACAACTTAGAATGTAAATATATCACAGAGGGATTTTTCAGCAGCTAAACTAATAAAACTGGGTCGATCAAATAGTAAAAGATATTGAGAGGCAGAAACAGGAAGTGTTATAAGAAAAGCACCCAATAGAGACACATAAGAGAAAACCCGTTCATCGACTCATTCAGCTTCTTATCTGTTCTATAGGGTTAGCAGTGGGACGTTTGGTTTCTTATTTTTTTCCCTTTGCATTTATCTTTGTGCCTGAATGAGTTCAATTTCACTTAGATTAGGACAGAAATTTCAGAACAGCAGGTTAATCCGTTCTGTCTTCATGGGCAACTGAGCAAACAGACAATATCAGTGTAAAATTGTAATTCTAGAGATTAATGTTGTCTTTCCTGTTTGCAGTGAATTTGACCTCCTTGTCGTTTTTTTCTTTTTCTTTTTTTTTTTTTTTCTTCCTTTTCCAGCCTCTGTCCAGGGTCCCTGGGAGAGAGCCATCTCACCAAACAAAGTGCCCTACTATATCAAGTAAGTCAGAAAAATCAAATTCTTAAAGAACATCTATTGTTGCTAATCTATATATTAACAAATTTATTTGTTTTTGTTTTTGTTTTTTTAATGAGACATTAGCCTGGTCTCTGAAACCTACTTATTTTTACCCTGAGGAAGCTTGGATGGCAAACTCATGCTAAAATTATCACTGTAAATTTGCTGCTGCAGTAGGGAACTGTTTTTAAGGAAAATTCATTTAATGTAGCATTTATGGTGTGTTTTGTGTTTGAGGGAGGTGGTCAGATTTTTCACAACAGAAAAAAAAAATAAGCTCCAGATCATATTATTATTGAGAATCAATATTTGTAAGAACAGTTCTATTTATTTAGGGGGCTTCCCACATTTCTTCTTCAGACAAAAATGGAAATTTTCTGTAGTTGTGTTTACACTGTTTCAGGTGAAAGAAAACATCACATATCCAAAAGGCAGAGAACAGCAGCCCAGGATTTGTGGAGCTGAGGTGTTCATTCTTGATACGCAGCACTCAGTATTTGTCACCTAACGACAATAACAGAATAGTGCTCTTTTCTAGGACCATTTGTGCCGTTAAAGGAATAAAAGTGCTTGGAAACTCCTGCTGATGGAGTTCCATGAAATATAAATTACAATACATTGTATTGACAGGGAAGAGCAAGGAGAGAGGCTAGTGAGTTATTATGATGTCTTAAGAGTCTTTCTTCAATTGTGCAATAAAGTCTAACTGAAATTTAACTTTCAATTGAGTACCCCAAAGACAATTAAAATTAATCAGGTTTATGAAATAGTCTTTGGTACCAACCGAAGTCTTTGAATTTGCTTCCGCCATAACTAAAAACAATGAAATGTTTTCCCATTTTTTTCAGCCTGCCATCTTTTATTGAGAGTTTTTATTCTTCTACTGCCCATCAATTCTTCATAATTCAGTTCCAAAGCAATAACAACGGTCCTAGATCTTCATTACTACAGTGCTCAAAAAACTTGATTTGCTGCCTCTATTCGGTTAACTCAGAAGAATGGAGGTGAAGGGACTCTTTTGGCTTTTCGGGGAAAAACACATCCTTTAGGCAATGGTTTACCCTTTAAATTATTAAATTTTTCCAGATGACATATCTCTTAACTCTAAAATTTTTCTTTTAGTAGACTTGGATCCTGCTTTCTAATTTTCTAATTTTTTATTTTTTTGTACTGTTGAATTGATTCATTTAGTTGCTCCACATTACATATTTTAAATACCTATTTAGATAATGTGTCCTATTAAATGTTGATTTAGACATGCACTATATTGCTTTACCTCCAATGTAGAGTTTATGGGACCATTTTATTCAAACTCTCTACAGTAATTGTCTTCCTCAGTGTCTTCATCATCACAGATTTTTATTTCTTACTAAGACATTTGAGATCTGCTACTTGTTCAACCCATCTATAGAGCTCTCACTTTGTCTAATTCCTTTATGAGCTGAAATGCTCTTTTTCTCCTCTTTTGGATGAAATTTTAAAACCGCCTAAGAATCTAAAGCACCTTTAAGCCATTATTCTCCAAATTACTACCTGTTTGGGGCTTATTAAAATCTCACAGGGATTCCTAGGGCTCCATCAGTTCCACTATCCTTTCTCCTAAATTTTGTTTGTTTCTTGAGAAAATGAGAAGATGGCAACTTTGACAGGGTCTACATGTCATGATCCTTCTCTGAAACTTCAAGTCAATCAAGATCACAGGTGTGCCAGGTAGTTTTAGGTAGATGCAGGATGCAAACCCAGAGCCTTCACAGATGGTCTCCAGAGTCGTGCAACAGTGCTCCTATTGCCTGCACCTCCATGGCTAGGCTTTTTCCCAAAATAGGTATCTTCCTCTATATCTATCACAAGAGATCCCAGTATATTGATGTGGGAAATGGAAATGAATTCAGTCTAAAAACTATAAAGTAGACAAATTTCACAAAAGCTGTAATTCTCTCCACAAATTAGCCCTTTGCTTTTCTTCAGTATAATTAGAGAGCAGCTACATATCCTTTTTGTCTAATGCTCCTTCATGTACTTGAAAATCACTGATCTGTGAATAAGGAAGCTTGAACTCTAGTCCTGGCTCTGCCATTGGCAGATTATGGAGCCTTGAACAAGTCCCTTAACCTGTATATAGCCTTATTCTCCTCTTTCTAAAACCATGAGTTGGACTGGATGATGTCTAAGGTCCTATTTAAGGTCTAAAAATCACTGGATATGACTCAATCAATGATTTTGTTCAAACTTGAAAATCCGATCTCAGCTTTTGTTCAAACGGTTTATCTTTAAAGTTAATTATTTAATTAATAATGTGATATCAGTTCTTATTTAAAAAAAAAAAAAGAAACATAGAAAACTTTTCCACTACTTCATTATCTTCAAATGTGTCCTCAAAACTCTCTAATTTCTCCAGGTTCTTTAAAGACCTTAAATCTTATTCTATAATTTAAGACTATTATTCTTCCTGGCTTGATGGTAAGAGACATAGAACAGGAAAAATTGGTAGAACAGTAAATATGTAGACCTTAAAATCCTCTGAAATGATAATTCCTTGAAATGAAAAATAACATGATTTCTCAAAGGTATCTCTGAAACTTTATGGAGAACAACTCTCTCTACAACTACAATCTACTTGAAATCAGGGATTATATAATTTCTTAAATAGAAATCCAAAATGTTAAACTGTGCTACAGGGAGAACACATTCATAAAACTCATATTGTCAATAAGCAGATTATTAGTGTCATTGTGTCTTTATTATTACCACTTACTGTTGTTTTCTAAAGCATTCTGTTTAAAGCAAATTACTTCAATGTACCAGGTTCAGTGGACTTCACACACTGGCCAATGCCACTCATAATCTGAGATACCTTATTGGCAAAAATAACATTAAAAATAAGCTTCTCATGACATTGCTTCAACAAGTTCCCATTTTTTTTCTCTTTCTTACCTTGTCTGTCTTGACATCCATTCAAGAACTTTTAGTCACACCTTCCCAGATACAAAACCAGGTGTCTTCTCTGGCTGTTATTTTGTTGTTGTTTTGTTTTGTTTTTAATGCTTTATAACTTTTCCATTTCAATGTTGGGATAAACTGATCATCTAAGTAACAAGAGATTTCTACAACCAATAGTCCAGTTCCTGGTTGGTTGTTGAGCTGTGCACTCATCCTTCAAGTTTTAGGTTATTTTTTATTTTGTTTTGTTTTGTTTGTTTTTGTCATAGGACTCATGTGATCACCAGAGAGACACAGTGAGAGGGAAAGTGAGAAATCATCTTTCAGCAAAGTTGGCTGTGTCACAGTCCCTTCTCCTCCATTCTCTTTCTGGGATTTTAGGTACACATGCACATGTGCCCAGCATGATTTGTCAAACCATCAGGTCCAGGAGTCCAACTGTGGTTGGCAATGTTGGAGTCTAGCACCTTGAACACCACACCAACTTCTGGCCCCAAGGTTTTACATTATTAATGACATCTTTTGCTGAAGATTGCAAACCAGGCACATTTGCTTGCATCCTGACACTGGCTATTCATATGATGCTAAAATCTTTGATTTTGCTACTTCAAGCTACACGTTTGTCTAGTTTATTTGTCCATAGATCATATTCCATACATCTTTGTTACAATTTTCATATTCTCTCTCCCTTGGGGCTCTCTTATTCCTGCCAGCATCTCTTTCATGTTATTTGATTATAACTTTCATTGCCACTGAAAAAATAATCACCAACAATGTTCAACCTGTTTCAACTGCCTTTTCTACTCTCTGCCATTTTGTAGTTTTTTGGCCTACTGTCAAACTCATGAAAATTTCAATATAATAGCCTTTAACCAGCTGTTGCATTCTGTTAGGATTTCTTTCACCTTTTTATGTTGCTTACTCCCATATGGGTAAACCAAACAGAGCCAAGAGCTGGGACTCTCTTGCTTTCTTAATGAGTTAGAAAATTATTCTTCTGTGTTCTGGACTGTCAAAAGAATTTAGGAATCCCAAACTTGCTGCCAAGATGTTGCAGAGTACATGTAATAATAACAGCGTAAGCAACTTCACACTGCATCGGACCAACTGGGCAACTAATCCAGGACTTTGTCCCAGATGAAGACACAATTGTGGTTTTTCTATTAACCTCATAATTGTCATGAATAAATGACCATTTCTTAATGTTCAGTTGACAATGAGTTTATCCAGTGGTGTCAAATTTTCCCATTCCCTATCTCAGTCAGTTTTACAAATGTACTGACTGCTATATAAATAAAGGCATGTTTTGATTTCTCTTGAATGGGCATCCTTTAATCTCAGAGAAAGGCCCCAATTAAATGCTTTGGAATTCAGTAATACATTTATATTTATCCAGAGTTGACTTTAATCTCATATCCCCCCCACACACACACACTAATGCTTTTCATTTTCATCTTCCCAGTCTGAGAAATTCTAATCCTTTTTAGTCTTTCAGTCTGTCCTTGAATGAAAGATAAGCTTTCCCCTTGATCATCTTAGTTGCTTTTCCCTGGATCTTTTCCAGCTCTGTTATATCTTCCTTGGGATGTCGTGACTAGAATGGCTCAAATATTGGTTATTAAATCTGTTAGCATTGTTTCTAGTCTCCACTCACTCATGAAGAAAGTAAATGCTATTTGCTATCTCCCGTTGGTGCAGAAATGGAGAAACCAATTGAGGTCATAACCTGTTCTACATATATTAGTTCTAGCTGAAGGTTGGTTTTCTCCTACTTTTCTATAATACCAGCTGAAGTGTTTGACCTTATAGTTCTGCCAGCTGTCCCTTAGGAAGGATTTGATTTTTAGACAAGCTGGTCCTTTCCTCCTTCAAAGACGCTGCGGTTGCTAAATATTGGGAAGAATTACTAATGAAACTCAGTAGTAAACCTGCTGACTCAATCAGCATTTCATCAGGTTCCCTTTCTAAATATCTCTGAAGCACTTCACAAAAGAGTGAAAAATGGGGTTGTGGGGACTTGTTAACTGTTCAGCATTTTTTAC